GCATATATCTTCTCCCATTCAGTAGGTTGTCTTTTACTTTTGTTGACAGTTTCCTGTGCTGTGTAAAAACTTTTTAGTTTGATATAGTCTCATTTGTTTATTTTTACTTGTTTCCCTTGTTAGAGAAGATCATCAGGAAAAATGATTTCAAGAACATTCACTTGATTTTTAAATGGACATGTTTCTTTATAATAAATTGTTACTAGTTGATATTGTTTCCCTGAAAATCAGTACGACAGTTGGGCTACCCATTTTTCAATTAATAACATACTAAAACTATAGTTGTTTTTTATGAAATTCTAGAAAAGTATATTTCGAGGCTCTAGAAGCTCTCTGGCCAACATGGTATAGTAAGAAAAGCACTGAACATGGCATTTTTCACTGATTCAACCAGGATTAATTGAGCATCTGTATCCCAACCTGAGCCATAATTGGTCGATGAGTATGCAAAAATGTATAATACATGTTTAGGGAAGGAGACAGAAATATAAGCAGGCTATTATAATACAATGAGATATATGCTATAATAGAGATAATGTATAAAATGCTATGGGTCTCCTAGGGAATAAATAGCTCTAGTTGGAGAATTAAAAAGAGTCTTCATAAAGGACATGATTTTCAACTAGGTTCTGATTGGTAAACTTGCCAAAATAATTGTATGGTAGCTTGTACGCTAAGGCAGAGAATAATGAAAATATATGGCATGTTTGAGTTTAATAGTGAGATTATGTTTAATAGTGAGAAAGTCAGTGGATAGAAGTAAGGTATAAGGATGAAAAAACAGGTCTTGAAGTTTCAAAAGTAGGCAGGGCCAAGATATTAAGGCCCATTTAGTAGCCATGTGATGTCATACAAGCAATTTCATCCCTCACAATGGTATACGCAGAAAAGGTTTATAAATGACAAAGTTAAAGACAAATGCACAGTCATGCATTGCTTAATGATGAGGATACATTCTGAGAAACATGTCGTTAGGTGATTTTGTCACTGTATGAACATCAAAAGTACACTTACACAAACTTTGGCTATGGGGTATAGTCTTTAGCCCCTAGACTACAAACCTGTACAACATGTTACTATATTGAATACTGTAGGCAACTGTGATAGAATGATAAATATTCATGTATCTAAACATAGAAAAGGTACAGTAAATATGGTATAAAAGATAAAAAATGATACACCAATATAGAACACTTACCATGAATGGAGCTTGTAGGACTGGAAGTTGCTCTGGATGATTCAGTAAGCGAGCAAGTTAGTGGTGAGTGAATGTGAAGGCCTAGGACATTACCGTATACTACTGTAGATTTTATTAACACTAACCCCAAAACCCTACCCCTGCTTTCTTCCAACAGGGTCAGAAATAGTATAACAAAGCTGTCAGTGCTGCTCCACGAACAGGGATGTGGACTGGACTAATTGGAAATATCAAGAAGAAACTAGTTGGGTAAGGTGTAGATCACCGTAACAGTGACTGTCAGTAGGGAGTGGAAGATGACCTAAGGATCAGTAGGAATAAGAAATCAAGATGGAGAGGAACATAGGGGATTGCCATGGCAATGTGATTTTGGCTATTGCGTGTTGAAGCAATGGTCAGATTAGGAACTGTATGATGTTCATAAAAAAAAAAAAAAAAGAGGATGTTTAATATGGAAAGGGTGAAGAATTGAGAACTCAATATTCTGACTTTGGAAATTTGTTTTTGGTTCCATTGATCCTACCTGGCACAAAGAACTTTCTCTGGCATTGAACTGATGCAAGAAATAAAACCTATCTATGCGTTACATTATTATGACCTGAAAATACTTCCAAGGTACAGAGACAGGCTGGCTCTACAGTACTACAGAAAGCTATTACTAAAGTGGCACTTAATTCTTGTTAAGATAGCTCTTATGGATGGACCTGTGTCCTTGTACAGAATCTTACGTCCTCAATGATGAATTTAGAGAAATCTACTCTGAAGACCATAAAGCTAGATCTGGGAGGTTGTAATGCCCTCTGAAAATGTAGGGATGGAGGGACAGGCTCCTCTGTGCTGAAATAGATTAGTAGCTGACTCACTGGGATGTAATCTGTGCACTCGAAATTAAGGTGCTGTAAGTGTGAAGGAATGAATCTACTGCCAAGCTCCACAGATATTGCTCCCGTCAGAGAAAAAAAAAATTCCTTTCCTGAACCACATATCCTTCCATTTCTTACAGGAAATTCAGCTCCATTATAATCTCGTGGGACCAGCATCGTCTATGCGTTCCACCGTGAGTCGAAATGTCATTATGGGGCGTGTGACTGTATTTCTTTTTTATTATTATTTATTGCCATGTAACAAACCCCCAAACTTAGTGGAATACAGTACTCACACATCCTGTGAGTGGAGATTTTGACAGAGCACGGCTAAGATGGTTTGTCTCTGCTCCACGGTGTTTGAGAACTCAGCTGGGATGAAGTGAGTGAATGGGGCTGGAACAGCTGGAACCTCTGAGATGGCATCGTCACCCACGTACCTGGGACCTTGATGAGAATGGTTGGAAGGCTGGGCTCCGCTGGGACTGTGCGCCTGA